AGGGATATTCACACGAATTTCGAAGCAGAAATTTGCATTCAATATTAAGAAAAGGCTCATATTTAATAGAGATTAATCTCAAACAAGTCAGAAATGCCACAACAGATGCAATTCTTGAAAATGTGCAGAATAAAAATTTGGCAAAAGATTTAGCATCCCGCATAAGAGTGATGTTTAAAAAATCCAGGACTGTTGGCGAGGTCTTGCACAATCACAAGCAGGTGATGAAAAAACTACCCGACTATGAATGCGCTACCTCCCGACTACCAAAGATGGATGATCATGTTGCGTCCAGATAAATGAAATTACTGAAAACTAGTTAATATGGAATGCAAAAAACGTATCGCATGTTAACGCAAAAGTAGGGAAAGAAGAAGTACGAAGGACAATCCTACTCACAATAGCAAGTATACCACGAGGCATGCGAAAGACAAGAGAGATAAGAATTGATGTCTCGAGGTGTATAAACAAAATGAAAGACAAAAACGAAGGAAATTATCTGGATATATCGGAAGTTTGGAAAGTCAAAAAGGAATTGGGACAATGGATCCTATCGCCACTGGATAGGAATCCTGGAGAAGCGCTCGTTGAATGTCCAAAAGCCTGGTATGAAAGACAAATCATTTTTTCCTAGAATCCGAATACTATGAAATCGTTCAGCAGACAGAATCTGAAAATTTCCAACTAACAAAGAAGACTTACCAAGGATGTGGACTGGTAAAGATTGCCGAATGGGATGAGAAAGGAACATACAGAAACGCTCATACAATTCCAAAGAACAAAGATGTAACTAGATGAAGGCCAATAGTACCAACATATAACGAACCTTCACGAAAAGCATTGAAAATCTTGTCGAGAGCGATAAACTTTGTGTAAAACATGGAAAGTCGGCTTCTCATTGCAAGGAACGAATCAACTTGTTCCAAAATTAAGAGAATGTAACGAACCAGTAGAAGAAATGTATGGACGGAACGCGGAATTGATATGCGCCACGTATGACGTTAAGGACATGTTTTCTAATCTAGATTATACACATGTTCTTAACGCCATGCAATGGATGCTAGAAACGACAAAAAAAACCCGGAAAACGCACCTGTGCTATAAACAAAGAGGAAAATACATCAACTTCGGCAAAGCAAATGGAACATACGGATGGAGAACGATTCAAATTGACAGTCTGATGGATCTACTATATTGTGACATTAAACATGCCTACTTCAAAGTACAGGGAACACTGCTTCAACAAGTCAAGGCGTACCTATGGGAAAGGGCTCCAGCCCACCTATAGCAAACATGGTATGCGCATTTGATGAACACGGATGGTGTTATGAAATTGGACTCGACAGGAAGCTCGTTCACGGAATGCGATTTGTAGACGATGTAATGATCATAATAATAGCAGATAAAGAAGATCAAGAAAAATAAATGAGATGCATGGAATCGCTTAAGAGTCAAAACATGTTATCACCATTCACTGAAGCTGGAATCAACATCAGAGAAGGAAAGTACAAAATGGACTTATCTCGAAACAACGATATCAAGGATAGATCACGAACCCCTCCTGAAGTGTACACATAAACTGAAGAACGAAGCGACACTCCAGGAGGGGTTGTTGAACTCTCTCTCTCTCAGGACATTGCGTCACTTCAGGAGTGCGGGTTCCGAGAAAACAAAGATACTGACGATAATTGGCACGTTTCACAGAATGGTAGCGAACACCTATGATGTCGCAGACTTGATCGCGGTAATGAAGCTGTTTTGTAGGGAACTCCAACAGATGGACTACCCATGGAGGATAACCCGCACAGCGATTTTGGCATTCATCAGAAATTGCAAAGACACTGAAATCCGGAGTAAATTCCGAGAGTGTCTGGAAGCAGAAGAAATACCAATCGAAAAATGATATAAAATCAGAGAAAGAAAAACGATAAAAGATAAAAGCAACAAAAAAAAGAAACGTGCAAACCTAAAATCACATAAAAAAGATCGACGACATGCAGATATAATGACGCAAAAATGGCCGTATTGATTTCCCAACATACGCAGTGAAATGAATCGAACCGAGAACCAGAGTAGGCATATAACAAACAGGCGACGGGAAGATGAAAGTACTCACCTGAAAAATAATGATGAAACCCATGACCACGCGAAAGACAAAGAAACATACAAAGCCAGAAGAAAGCCCAAAAGACAAGTCAGATATAAACAAAAAAAAAAATCAACATTATTTGTCGACAGAAATACGGCCGAAAGAGAAATAAACTGAATGAGTACCGAATTCCGGCAGAAAGAGGAATAGAAAGAGGAATAGACAGTACCACAGGAGCATACGCAGGAGGAAGATGTTATATGCAGCAAATCGACGACCACGGGAAACCAACGACGACAAGGGCATTACAGAGCATGACTACGGAGAAATCAGAGGCAACGATGATGAGGACACTGCAGGGATTGAGGACAAGCAGGTGGGAAGGATAAGGATGATAGGGTATAAATTCAGGGACGGTGGCTGAAAGGATTACCTGAGCAGTGAGGTAGAAGGGTAATCGCTTGCATGCCATGGACAGGACGTGTATACTGCGAAAGTAAAACCTCGCACGTGTTGTCTATTGTTGCAAGTGTCTCTCTCTCTCTCTCTCTCTCTCTCTCTCTCTCTCTCTCTCTCTCTCTCTCTCTCTCTCTCTCTCTCTCTCTCTCTCTCTCTCTCTCTCTCTCTTTCT